ACAAGCTGCTCCCCGCTCGGGTTTAGGGTTTAGGGTGTAGGGTGTAGGGTTTAGGGTTTAGGGTTTAGGGTGTAGGGTTTAGGGTTTAGGGTTTAGGGTGTAGGGTTTAGGGTTTAGGGTTTGGGGTTTAGGGTTGAGCTTCAGATACGAGTTGGGGGTATGGTTTAGGATTGCAGCGTAATCTAGCCCAGAATCCTATCCTGATTCTAATCATTAAGTCCCTCGGTTGCTTTATTCCGGTTTTAGGGTTGAGGAGGATTGGGAGTGTTAGGGTACTGCAAGGGCGTTGGGGGTACTCAGTGGTTTAGGAGTCCAAGCTAGACGGAATCCGCACGACAAGGGGACGCCACAAAAGCCCAACGACCCAGCCCACCTGACACACCCCTCAACCCTAAACCCTAAAACCCTAAACCCTAAATCCTAAACCCTCTCCGTCCCCACGCCTAAATGCGAGAGCAGGCTTAAATCCTAAGCCAGGACAACCACCCTTGAGCCTTAACCCCATACCCCGAAACGGGCACCCCAAACAAGACGCCCGTGCGAGGCTAAACCTGACCCTCAACTTTAAATCTCACACCCGTCGCCAGCAGCCTAACTAAATTCTACACCGTAGGCCTAAAACCCTACACCCTGACACCCCACCCTAACGCCGAAAGCCTCCCCTCCCTTCCAGAGAATACACAACCCTAAAACTGAGGTTTAGGGGCTTAGGGTTTAGGGTTTAAGGCTAAACCCTAAACCCTAAACCCTTAAACCCTTAAACCCTTAAACCCTTAAACCCTTAAGCCCTAAACCCGAACCCTAAACCCTATATAAACCCTAACCATAAACCCTAAACCCTAAACCCTAAGGTGCATCCACCAGACGAACCAGAGCTTGAAGGCCCAGCAGGTCGCAGCCCTTCCAGTCTTCGTGGCTCGGTCAAGGCGGATGCTGGTCCTCTGGGACGACACCTACTTCGAAAGGCGCGGAACCCTAAACCCATTGAGCTCTAAACCTTAAACCCTAAACCCTAAACCTTAAACCCTAAATCCTAAACCCTAAACCTTAAACCTTAAACCTTAAAACCCTAAACCCTGAAGCCCAAGACCATAAAAGGGGGTGGGGCGTGGTTCTAGAAGGCTGTTAAAGGCTCCTCTAAGGGTGCCACAGGGGTTTAGGGGTATATAGCTCCATGCAGCTAGCTAGGGAAGGGTTCGTTGAAGGGCTTCCTTTCTGGGGCTGCATCAGGTGTTCTAGGATTATCAACCCACGACCCAGAATACTGACTTGCAGTCTGAAGACCCGTCTTCCAAACATTCCAAACAACCTGCCCCCGCAAGTGCTGCAACAAGTCGCAATGGTGATGATAAGCTTAAGTCGTTCTGGCTACGACGATGACAGCCGTGTCCGAGGCTGTGCCAGTGACTAAGAGACCTGGTCTTGTTCCACAAAAGCCTCATGTTTCCCCGAGGCCCTAGTCCGAAGCCCCCTCACTTGCGGAGGCTTTGGTGCAACATGGAGATGGCGACTTTCGCGCGGTATTCCGAGAGCCCGAAGAAAATGGAGTTTGTTCCTTTGTGGCTGGCGCCTTAGTGCCCCCCAAGTGAAAGAAGGGCTGATAATGGGATTTAGGGCCCCTAGTGCGGGTATGTGCGGGTATGCTTAAAGGAGCACGGAGCACTGAGGCTGGCTCCATGGCTACTGTCTGCAGTGCTGCTGGACTTGCTTGGAGTAGAGTTTTTGCGCTGCATGGAGGCAGATGAGGCGACCGAAATCATCACTCAGACGGGCATAAAGATGCCAAGCTCTTTTTTTAGGGTTGGGGGTTTAGGGCTTTATAGGCTTTTTAAGGGGGTTTAGGATTTTCTTGTTATGAGGTACTCTAGATCTCTATCATGGTAACTGAATGAAGAACCTCAACAAGAACCCAGGATGGGTTTAGCTATGCTGGGTGATTCGCGAGAAGCTCGTCTCTTCTTGGAGGGGTTCCTGCACAGCTTCCCATACTTTGTCTGTTACCTGCCCATGGCTCTGCCGAGCATGCTTTCCTTCAAAAGCAACTTGGCGTTCTTCTGGTTGGCTCTTAGGACTTTAACTTCTTGGGTATCTGTATGAACTACAAAAAATAAGCTCGAAGTTTAAAAAAATAGGAGGGGTTCAGAAGTCAGCCAAGGCAAAATTCAAGGGCATCAGCTGATGCTACATCAGATGGCCAGCTTCGATATCAAGAAGGCAAAGTGCTCTGTAGAGAGCGATCGGCCGCTGGTGGAAGAACAGGTCGCAATGCACTTCCAGCCCAAATTGGAGACGGATGTCATTGTTGCTGGAGGTTCTGAACTAGCTCCGGAAGCCGTAGAATCTGGAGCATTGCGGGAGGAAGCACTGGATAGGTTCAACAGCTACGTTCAAGGACCCCTGCGCAGCACCCTCCTGGATTGCATTGGGGAAGTGCACGAGGTGCCCTTTCAGTTGTGCAGTCTCTGCATGCTACCCATGACCACCTTCAATGCCACTGCCATCATCCCTAGTGCCTGGGAGGGCTGCGGGACACTGTCAACTTTGGGGTATGCGAGTCCGTGGGACTGGAGATTGTGGATGCCCTCTCTTGTGGCGTGGTGTCTTGCCCAGACCTTGGCTTATCCAGTCACCTTCCCGATTTTGCTGCGCCTTCTTCAGCAAGTGGAGAGTGCAACCGAGAATGTATGTGTGCAACTACTCTTCGGGATACTTTGCAGCTGCTTCGTTTACGCCTACACGTTCTTCTGCTCCGGTATCATTTTTGGATGTGCGATGGTGCTGAGCCAGAGGCAGGAACATGTCATGCAGCTACTGCACAGTGCGAATAAGGCATTCCGCGGCATTCCCCTGAAACGGTTTAGGGTTTAGGGTTTAGGGACAGTCCCTCTCTATACTTCTGCACTAGTTCGCACCCCAAAGCCTTATTCTAATCACTCAGGCCGGTGTTGTAAAATCACGGAAAACCGCTCAATACGTCTTTAGAAAACGCTGGCCATGACGGTGGCCAGGTGATGCCAATGAGAGTAAACACGAAGGCGTGATGACGAGGGTTTAGGGTTTAGGGTTTAGGAGGAGGAGGAGAAGGAGGAGGAGGAGTAGGATGACGACAAGGGCTGGCACGTGCCTCCCAAACAACCTTGCGAGAACTTGGGGCTGTTTTGCAGCGTGCAGGGCGTGCTGGGGTTTTCCGAGGTCTGGCTTGTGGCCGGTGCTTCCAAAGCAACAAAACCAAGTTAGCAGACAAGAGCCTTATCCGATTCTTCGAAAATCCGAAGAACATCCTACACTGGAAGCCCCAAACTCCTCAACCCTAAACCGAACTAAGCCCTAGCCGGCCCTAGCCCCTGACGTCCCAATGCGACACCTCCTAGGCCCTCCTTCGTCTGGATAGCTGCCGCCCTCTTTGCGTTCGCCTTCTTGGTGATGCAGTTCTGGCTGCTGGATCTTACTTGAGGGTTGACTTGGTTCTCTTAAGCGGTTTAGGTTTTAGGGCTTAGGGTAGGGTTTAGGGTTTTGGATTTTGGGTAGGGTTTTGGGTGTCGGGCCTTTAGGGCAGAACTTGGTTCTCTTAGAAGTAGTTTCATAATGTTTCCAGTGTTTTACTGGTTTAGGGTTTAGGGTTTAGGGTTTTACTGTTTCTGAATCTTGACAAACTCCTTTTGCTGACATTGTGAGACGAGTAGTGTGAACGAAAGCGTGCGTTGCCACCCTGCACCCCTAAATCCCGCTCCGAAGCCCTAAACCCTGTCATCGGAGCCTGAATACTGAAGAAATATCAAATTACCACCGTGTTTCGCACGATTCCTTATCATACGATGCTGGAAGCATAACAAGTATAATATGCCCAAAGTTCTTATTTCCAACCTTTTAGGCCCCCCCCCATAATCACCGTAAATTCCTGACCATTCCTGACCCTCAACCCCTAAAGCCTAAACCCTAAACCCTCAAGAAAGAAATAAATAGAAATTGCTTGCTGCTGTTGGCCATCCGGCAACCTTTTTGTGGGTCGGACACAACCTTCTTCTTTTCTAACAAACCCACTTCCGTTTCAGGCTTAAGCAAGTCAACCCGGCCAGGATGGCCCAGCACAAACCGCCCCGCCAACCACCAGCCCAGCTCAGCCCAGCCCCTCCCAAGCCCAAGCCCAAGCCCAAGCCCAAGCCCAGCCCAGCCCATCAATACCCCTTAGTTAAGCAATATAGCCTAAATCATAATATTCAGGCCCCTATATTTTACGGTATATTCCTTAATTAAGGGGTATTAGCCGACCGCCAGCGAAGGGACCAAAAGATTAGTCGGCCAACCTCCCGTTCGTTTACGGACGCGGATCTTGCAAAAAAGTTTCAAGGACACCAGGGGCCCACCCTTTTGACAGGATGGTCGATTCTGCCAGCCCTACACCTTTGGCTGCAGATCCCAAGACACAAAAGAGCGACCGGGTTTTATGACTGAGCCTGTTTTTGTAATTGGTGGGCCTCGGCTGGGGGCTGAGGGGCTGGGGGCTGGGGGTGGGCTGCTGGCTGGGTGGAATTGGCGGACGGGGTGAGGGCAAGGCTGGATTGGGCTGGGCTGGGAGCTGGGTCGGATAGAAATTGTTAAGGGTTTGGGTGCCAGTAACGTTTTTCCATGTCGGCCAACCCTCTACCTCTTGTATATAAATGACATCCAAAAAGTTTCAACACTTTCGGTCAAAACTTTTCGCTCCAAACATTCATACGGTCAAAACGTTTCGGTCAAAACGTTATGGTCGGAACGTTTCGGGTCGAAACGTTATGGGGACCCAGACCCTTAACAGCTTCTATAAACCCTAAACCCTTAGCCCCTAAACCCTAAACCCCTAAACCCTAAAGCCTAAACCCTAAACCGTGCCTAAACCCCTAAACCCCAAACCCTTCAACCCCTAAACCCGAAAAGGAGCATCGACCTCACTTTCGGCGCTTTGCCTTCGAAGGGCGACCTGGCAATGTGCCGCCCGCTCTTCCGCTCTTGCGTGGTGTTTTTTGGTCTTTAGGGTTTAGGGGTTCAGCGGTTTAGGGTTTAAGGGTTCAGGGTTTGGGGTTTAGGTTTTACGGGTTTAGGGGTTTAGGCTTTAGGGTGTGGGGGTTCGGGGCCTCGTGGTTGTTGTGTTTCTTTTTTTGTTTGGGTGGTGGGTGGGGGCTCATCGGCTTTACCCGGTTGGGCTTTAGGCCTATTTAAGGGGGTTCAGGGCTTGGTGGTTTTGGGGCTTTGGGGCTTGGGGTTCAGTTGGGCTTAGGGCGTAGGTTTTATGTGTTAGGGTTTGTGTGTTTTGGTTACGTCGGCTGGATCATTCTCCTGCTATCTACAGACGCACCTACGTACATACACACATACCTACATACATAATCATACATGCATGCATGCATGCATGCATGCATGCATGCATGCATGCATGCATACATACGTACATACATACATACATACATACATACGTACGTACGTACGTACATACATACGTACATAGACATGTGCAAAGATACGTACATAGATACGTACATAGGTAGATAGATACATAGGTAGATGGACAGATAGATAGATAGATGGATAGATAGATAGGTACATAGGGCACATAGCAGTCTTAACACACATAGCTTGGATCATGTTCCCAGTCGTCTGCACAAGCTTTGCATTTGAAAGTGAAGGCACGTGTCACTCAGGACTAAGGGCAAACCAAGTTGTTGTATATTCTGATCTGTTATAGTCTGTTTCATTCTACTATAACCTTTTGTCGTGTATCATACTATAGTCTAACAAGTCAACATCTACTGGAATATGCTAGTCGGTTTATGGACGCACGAAGCTTGTCCTTGCCCAGTTTCGGTGGGTAAGGTTTCTTGTCTTGCGCCTGCTCTAAACCCTATCATTTCTAGACCCAAGGCCTTGCAGTGCTGTCGGATCACCCCAAACTCTGCACCGGTGTGGGCGCGTAGATCCTGAGTAGCGGATGACTTTCCTACAGTGGGTTTCAACAAATACCGGACCGTCAGGATTTCGAATCGGGAATGCCACTGTTTAAGATGCCCCTGATCAAGAAGCTTTCATGCCGAGAGAGCCACCTGTGCGGGATTCAGACATCTCTTGGAGCTTCTATTCTGATTGATTGAGTCTATTTGAGACAGTTCGAGTGCTGCGAGGGGCTGCTACGTTCTTTGGCAAGCCCTTGCAGTAGCCCCTAAGCCCCAGTAGATCCTAGGTAGTATTAGAGAGACCCCTTATAGGGGACCCTTCTTAAGGCTCTCTTTAACGGGACTTTATTGAGAGGGTGTATGTCCCCATGGGTACCCCTAATCCTAACTCCCAACAGAACCTCAAAAAGCAGCCCGGAACCCTTCTACACTCTAGGGTTCAGGGCTGAGGGTGTGCGGTCTTGCTCTCGCAGCTCACGTTTCCTGCGCCTTTTGCATCGAAAGCTTCTAGACACATGGATCTGGACCCACAGTCCCCAAAGCCCCCAAGCCCCCCACCGCACCCCACCCTAGCCGAAACCCTAACTTACTTGAGCACAAGATATCGTGCGTTTGTTGGAGCTTCTCGTCATCGCAGAAGCCACATCCTCCCAATCAGTATCTGCTTCTGACTTCGGGGTGTCTACAGCTCATCCTCAGCGGAAGCCGACACCAGCACGTTCAGCCCCAATCTGGTATGACCCTATAGATGCTTGAAGTCGAGCCGATTTCAGCCCAAACCAACCCACACAGCATACTCCTCGCCCTTGACCTGGGCCTGAGAGCGCAATGCGCTCGTCCGGACATGGCTTCCTACTGCCGCCTCACGCGTAGGGTCCCAAGACAGCCTAGCTGACCCGAAGGGTCTTAGGTACAGTTATGGGGGATACGTCCCCAAATCATAATTGTAATTCCTAATATAGAAGTCCTACATATTACAATTTGAGCCCTTTGGGTTTGCATTCCAACAATAGGCCTGGCCCTTCATCTCAACAAACTTTCAGGTTGGGGTTTAGGGTTTAGAGTTTAGGGTTTGGGGTTTAGGGTTTAGGGTTTAGGGTTTAGGGTTTAGGAGGGGGTTGTGATGTTGCTTCCGGGATTCCGCGTTTTACAGCACGCGCCTTCCGGATTCTCCTTCCAGCTGTCTTTACTTCAGCTTCTACCTAGCGAGAACATATCTCAACATTGAATTCCATTCTGTAGGTGTGGCAGCTCCTACTTTGGGGTTTCGAATTTAAGCTTGCATGTCGACTCGTCGTTGATACGGCTTATGATAAAAATCCTGCATTACCTTAAGGACCCAAAACTATGGGAATTGTGGTATGTTCCTGACTATGGGTAATGCAGGATTTGTATCATCAACCGTATCAGAGCACGGAGATTTGGGTCTGGTTCGGCTCTGGGTTCGGGTGCTTTGCCTCGCAGGCCTGAAGCCACACCCCCGGGAGCATCTTAAAACGGGCTCCTTAAGGGGATCTCTAGATAGGGTTTAGGGTCTATAAGGGTTTATAAGGGTTCATAAGGGTTTATAAGGGTTTACAAGGGTTTATAAGGGTTTATAAGGGTTTAGGGGTTTCGGATCTAGAAAGCAGATCCCCTCATTTGGGACCCCAGCTACTACAGGGGTACTTTATAGGAACCCCCCCACTGAGGGATCTACTCCCAAAACCCTATAAACCCCTATACACCCTAGACCGTTTTAGATCCTTTTAAGGAACCCCTTTAGGGAAGCCCCTTAAGGGATCTACTCTTTGGATCCTCCCGGGAGGGACGGTTTTAGGGGCTTTAGGGGTTTTAGGGGTTCAGGGGTTTAGGGGTTTAGAGGCTTTAGGGGGTTTGGGGGTTTAGGGGTTTAGGTGTTTAGGGTTTATAGGGGTTTAGGAGTTTAGGGGTTCAGGGGTTTAA